AAGGGAAGTAACTTAAAAACAATTTTTTTAGGCAATCACACACACACTGCACAGGTTAAACTTCCCAGTGCCCAAGGAAATGATGTAGAGAGAGACTATTTGTTTGAAAGGATGTGTCCTCTTCGCTCCTGGTTTCTAATAGCAGACAAGTGAGAAAACTGCATTGTTTGTTTGGTGTCGACAGACAACTTAAAAGGATTCTAAGGTGGAAGACAACTCAATGGCCTTCCGCCCACTTCATCTGAAAAATGAAAGGGCCAGGCGGTTCTTTATTGCTCAAAAGGTGCAATTAAAAAACAACTCAGGGGCAATTAAAAACAACCCACTGTCTAAAAAAAATAGTTCTGGAGGAGAAACCAAGACAAGATTCCTCAGCTATGGGAAGGGAATCTGGAGTTGAATCAGCCAGAGCGCCAGTCGGAACGGTAGCTCCATAATACTGTCATCCAGACTACCCTCAAAAGATCAGTCATCAGCTGGTTTCCTTGGCAAACAATAAAGAACTTGCAAGGGAGGGGAATCACTGTCATTTCAGGCCAAAGGGCTGTTGCGTCACACATTTCCTGGAACAGAATGCCGGCTTGCCCTGGCTGTGTTAGAAACATTCCAGTAAAGCAATATTCCTCTCTCTCTCTATCTCCCGCTCTCTCTCCCTCCCTTTCTCTCCCTCCCACCCCACTTCCTTATCAGGACTCACCCTTAAGTTTTTATTTTTACAAGCCTGGGTTCGATTAAAAAGCCCTCAGCCTGGAAAACGAAAGTAGAAACAACTGATCCGGAGACAACCTCTTTGTAAGAGAGTTCCTAAATACTTCTTCGATTTAGAACATTGCATGCTGCAGAGAATCTCTACAAGACCGGGTTTTTGAATACTTTAAAATAACTAGCTTTTGTCCTAAGAAGAGAATTCCATATTGTTTCATCTTCCAGTTTAAATATAACTTTACATTTATAAATGTATAAAGTCCCTTTCCTTATTTGGCTTCAAGTGGAAAGACTCTCCGCACAATCCTATTGATATCAACAGCAATGTCTATGGAGATTTTCAGTCATTTAGGTCAGAGTTGTCCTCAATGGTGCTTTTTCAAGAGGCAACAGGACCTTCTGGGAGCTGAAGAAGCTTCATGGACGAGAAGCGACACATCTTCAGAGAAAAAGCAGAAAGTCCAGTTGCCTCTCCAAAAAGCACCATTGGGACTATCAATAACGAAGTTGGGACCCTGGGGGCCTTCTAGTCCAAACAGGAAACCCTATTCCAATTCATATGGAGACTGTGTAAAAAAGTTGTCCATCAAGACTAAATACTAACAAGAATTCCACAACCCCATTTGTACATAGAAGCCTCACAAATATCCTATGATCAGTATCGCCCAGTGACAGACATCCAAAGTATTTTGGAAGGATGAACCATTCAGACTGAAACAAAACTTGAGGAACACATGTTAAGATTACCACCAGTATTATATTTCAGTTATCTGAGCAAAGAAAAAGACCTTTGAATTACTACAGGACTATCATATAGGAGAATTAGATTAGTGCTATATATGTCAGTACCATTGATGTCATAATAGTACATGTCATAATCTTGTATTGTCTCCATTTTGAGCCTTATCTAAAGTTTCCGTATTATTCAGTACTGGTCTGGATTTGTACAGATTCAAACTGGCAATATCCTCAAAATCCACATTTTGGAATTAGTTCCGAAAAAGTACCAGAGGCTACAAAATCCCTCATTATTATTAAAAATGAGCTAAGGTGGTAAATTGTCCACAATTCAGCCCATCAAATGCTTAGTGTGACCTGCTGTTGTCGGGGCGGGAATGGGAGTTGGGGTGCGTACGTGTTTTTTTTCTTCTTCAGATTTTGTTCTATTCTACTTTACTAAATTTTTGTTAGTCTTTGTTTTTTTTATTTTTTGTTTAAAATATGGTTTTACATTGTGTAAGCCATCTTGAGTCGCCATGGGTGAATAGGCAGCAATATAAATTAAATAAATAAAATTCACGATAGCCTCTCTTCCTTCACAAATTTGGACAAATCATTATCTAACACTAACTTCCTACAAAAAGGAGCACCCTACCTTAATTTACATCTACTTTTTGTACAACTAATAAGCTTAGAGAATCTAAGTTTTCCCCCATTCCTAAGAACAGATTTTGCATATTTGAGATTAGGTTACAATGACAACACAATGCTTGGCTGTGCCTTCCATCTCCACCCAGCACAACCCACACAAGGTGAGGCTAGATCATGTGCCCAAGAGGCAGTGTTTTTCCCCTCTTTCTCCTTGATCCTAGCCAGGTTTAAGAACATCTACATAAAGGTTTTAAGGCAGCCTTAAATCCTCCTTTTAAAATGCTAATGGGGACTATTGTCCCTTACTACAGATAAGGTGGCAAAGAGGAAGAAAACAACTATAGGACTTCTCAGGGACTTCCCCCCCCCTCTACTTAAAAGATGATGACATTATAATTATTATAAACCGTAATAAAAGAGCAGAGTTTTGACATTCTGAATAAAATCAAACTTGATACAGAAGCATCTTCATGATCTGAAAGTATAAGCAGTAACTCCGATAAACAGCAACCTTGGAAGGCACTTAAAAGGGGGCTTCGAATGGGCTTGAAGGAAAGAGCAGAGAACCATAGTGAGGAAGAAGTTTGGACTACAACACCCATCTTCTGGGGAAGTTGGGAGTTGTAGTAGGCCGGGATTATAAAGGATAAATAAATAAATAAATATAAATATAAACTTTATTCTATTTCTACATATACATATATACATATATACATATACATATACATGTATATGTATATGATGTATATGGGTAGAAATAGAATAAAGTCAGTGTTTTTCAACCTTGAGTCCCTTCCAAGAGGGGTGGACTACAACTCCCAGAGAGCTGGAAAATGGAGAATTATGGGAGTTGTAGTCCACCACCCCCGCAAGGTGGAGAAACACTGACTTTATTCTATTTTTTTACCCTGATTTATTCCAAAAAAAATTGGTATCCGTTAAGATCCCGGGCGACTACAACTCCTAACTTCCCCAGAAAGATGGGTATTGTAGTCCAAACGTCTTCCTCACTAAGGTTCCCTGCTCTTTCTCTCGACCCCCCCCCCGCCATTCGAAGCCCCCACCCTTGTTTTTAACCGCCTTTCCAACGGCTCCGGGGTTTCGAACGAGGCCTTCTCCTCACCTGAGGTATCCGGAGGAGGATGCCGGCCGACTGGATGAGCTCACAGCCCGTGATCCGGAGCGGCGCCTCGGTCTCGGCGTCGAGGCCGCTGCTCATGGAAGGCGTAAAGCGAAGCGTCTCCTCAGGCAGGAGGCAGTTCTCCAAGGTGATCAGCACTCCCGAGTAGAGCCGGTCGCCGATGCGGAGCGACCCCGGCTGAGGCGGCGCGGGAGGCGGCGGCGGGAGCGGGCCCGGACCGCCGCTAGAAGACGACGACGAAGAGGAGGAGGACGACGAGCAGCCGGCCGAAGCGACGGCCATCCGAGCCGAGCCGACTCCGAAGCCGGTCGGGGCCGCTGCTGCGGCCGAGGCGGGAGCCAACATCGCCGCCATCTTGTCCGGACGACGTCGCCACCTCCGCTCCCTCTCCGACGGATCCCACCCCACTTCCGGCCTCCTCGCGCCCGGCTTCCTGCTCGCGCCCGGCTCCTGGCCCCGCCTCGAGGCGTCGGCGTCTCCGATTGGCCCGCCGTCAGCAGGCTTCGGCTTTCCGACTGGCCAGCGCCAAAAGAACATTCCTCGCGTGACGCAACGCAGGAAATTTTCAATTTTTCTTTTCTCGGCGGAAGTTTCGCACGAAGGAGGGGGGGGAGCGGGGGGGGGGGAACGGGGGGTTGGAGAGGCGAAGCGTCACAATCGAACCTTCCCAGCATGCAACGCGCGCGCAGCTTCTTTTAACTTATCGGGAAACGTTGGGTTCTACCACTTCAAAATGCGGGGGGGACGTCGACGGGGTGTATCCGTTCCGGAGAATTGGCGGCTTTTCGTTTCGGCAAATATCCGTAAGGGAAGAAGTAACACGGCAAGGGAAGGCTTTTTGGTAATCTTTAGTAATTTTTAACCTTTGAAGAGGGGGAAAACTTCTCCATCAGCTCCCCCAACCCTTCTAATGGTATAACCCAAAGTTCTGAATTCCCAGCTTCCATTGATTTGCTGCCAAAATGGCAGAATTAAATCTATGCTGGTAGTTATTAAACACACACACACAGACACACACTCTGATGATAATTCCCGTGCTGGCTCAGAGCTATGGGGATTGTAGTCCTCCTTCCCCTTTCCCAGGAATGAACCCAATCATCCAGGGGTCTCATGATCTATTGTAGCATTTCCTATTATTACTGGCATATAAAAACGTTACAAAGTGTTGTGCTCATAATCAAAAGTGAATTTCCTTATGTGGTCCTTGCACTGGTTGTGATGGCACAGGGCCTGATCAGTGAATTCACTGGGGAGGGGGGTTGTCCCCAAGTCACCATGTGCCCAACCTGGTTAAAACTAACCCTTCACCTGAAAATGAAGGCAAATATACATGCAGGAGATCCAATAGATTACATTGGAAGTGTCTCCCACCTCCAAGCGATCTTTACAAGGTGTAATTCGTCCTGGTATGGTTACTCTGAATTTTTTAATGCGAGGACTTGGCTTCAGAGAAATGTTAATCTACTACACCTTTTCATGTCACCCTTTGCTCTGCTGCAAAGTTCATTTTATGTATATATATTCTTTCCCCTTCGTTTTGTTTCCGTTGTCTCATTGAATAAAAAAACCTAGAAAAAATGAAGTCTCTGAGCTAGATTTTACCCAACAACCTAATGCAGATGGGACATACCTGGATATATGCCCCAAGTTGAATAGCCACAAGCCACAGATCAAACTGGATCACTTTCAGAAATCATTGCTTTGGCTCAAGGAGGGAAAGAGAGAGAGAGAAAAAAAATCAATATTTTTATTTTAAAAATGTCTCTTTTTAATTTGAGCAGAGCTCATTGGGAGCGCAACCCCTTCACTGATGTTTCAACAGGCGGGAAAATATTCCTTCGGGTTCCTTTCCTCCTCCCTGGGCTGCAAGGAGTCCTTCTTCCCCTCTTCTTTTGGCTAAAGCAGCTAAAGATTTGAATGTCTTTGGTTCATAGATGGCTAGATCGGCTAATGATTTCCGGTTCAGTTCCACTTGACACTGCGATGTGAGAAGAAATAAAGACAAAAGAGATACGAGTTGGTCTGATTCTGGATGTGCATTTCTTGTACTTTCATCTTATCCAACCATGAAAAGCTCAAGAAAGCTCAAAAAAATCAGATGTAAACTTTGTACAAAAAAAAGAAAACCATCTGTAAACTTTGACAGCCTGCTGCAATCCTTCCCCATTTTTTAAAAAAATAGATTTAAAGTCACTCATGCCTACAGTGATGAACCACAGCCCTATGGCCATCAATGAGGCAAAAAAAAAATCACCTTAAAGTATAATAAAACATTCAAAATATAAATTTAAAAGGATAAAGTAAAGCGATACTAACAACAGTAATGATAAATTGGTGTCATTTCATCGCTTATAGGCTATCTGGAAGAATACAATGTTGAAAAGCACCTGGAAATTTAAAATAGAAAAAAAATAAATAAGCCAATTACCTTATAAAGGCCACTTATGAAATTATGGTACTTCACACCATGCTCCAGTGATGCCGCTTCAATCCTAGTTTCCCAAAGCTGAAAGAAAAAGTGCAATATTCGTAAGATTTTGGGAAAGAACATAGGAGTTAAGACGTTTTCATAGCTGCAGGCCACCCCTAGCAGATCAGAAAGGTCAGCAGTTCGGCTCCTTAACACCATGTAACTGAGGAAGCTCCTGTTACTTGTCCCGGCTTCTGCCAGCTAGCAGTGCGAAAGTATGTAAAAATGCAAGTAGAAAAATAGGGACCCCTTTGGTGGGAAGGTAACAGCGTTCTGTGTGCCTTCGGTGTTCAGTCATGCTGGCCACATGTCCATGGAGACATTTTCGGACAGCGCTGTTCAGCTTTGTGATGGAGATGAGCACCGCCCCGCTAGAGCCCGAAACGTCTAGCACATATGTGCGAGGGGAACCTTTACTTTTAATAAGGGATATTTCACATCTCATCTAAAAGTTTGTAATGCCTGTTTTTAGCCTTGACTAGTGCTTGACCGTACAAGAAGCATTTAAGGGTACAATTTAATACTGTTGTAATTGCATTGTTGCTTGCTTTTCTCTGTTGGTTATTCAACTTTGCTGTCCTGCTCTAGTAAATAAATAAAGCACATTTTCTTAAATGAGCACCCAGCAATTATACAAGGCAGAAACCCAGCAAAAGATTGGCACTTCAGGATGCACAATATTTTATAAATATCTCAAATGTCTTTGGCTCTTCCTTACCGTCCTCATATCTCTCTTTTTGAGATACCTGGCCTTGGTGGCATACACAAAGGCCCTCCGAACAGCTCGGTATGCCAAGCTATAGCAGCGGTTCTTCCGTCCACGAAAATGCTGGAGAGAAAGGAAAGAACGACACGAAAGATGGCAAACAAAAATATTTCGAGTCTTTCTTGTTACAAGAAACTCCCAACTCACAAAAGCCCATCCTTGAAGGTGGCTTGGTGTGTTAAGACATTATACATTGCACAACTGGAAATTGGCATCATTGTACCAAACCCGAAATTGTTACCCTGCCCCTTCAGCCCACCCATCGTGCACTGGCACCATCTAAGATGGGCATATGTAGTAAGACGTCCCATTCAACAGATCGGGCTGCTGAAAATAGGGAATGCTGGGAGCTGTAGTTCTAAACACCTGGTGGGGGAATTTAAGCAAAGCACCCGCTCTGTGAAAGCAAATGACTTAGTTTGCAAGACCAAGAATAATCAGCAATAACAGAGTAAGCCGAATGCAGTACTAAGAGCCATCCTATTAGTACTAGGAGCAACAAGTACAATAGCTGTACTCTCCTTTCTTCTCCTTCCTCCTCCTCCTCTTTTCCTTCCTCCTCCTCCCTCCTTCTTCTCCTCTTCTCTTTTTCTTCCTTCCTCTCCTTTCCTTCTTCTCCTTCCTCTTTCTCCTCTCCTCCTCCTCCTCCTCCTGTTCCTACCATATTCCCGCAGATACAAGGTCTGCTTTTCGGATCATTGAACACCACTTATTACTATTATTCTTCTTATCCTTCCTATTACCTATCTCTTCCCACATGACTATAACCGTGTTGCTTGTATCTTTACAATTTATATTGTTTTATTTATTTTCCTAGTATGTTCGATTGCGTATTAGTAACCTATGTATGAACTGATTGCTTATTAGTAACCTAGGACTATCCCTAAGTGTTGTATCTTATGATTCTTGATGAGTGTATCTTTTCTTTTATGGACACTGAGAGCATTTGCACCAAGTCAAATTCCTTGTGTGTCCAATCACACTTGGCCAATAAAGAATTCTATTCTATTATTTCTATTTCTAATAATTCTAATTCTGATAATTCTAATTTTTATTCTATTCTTTGAATGGTCAGCTGCATCTCCGGGGCGCAGGCCCTCAGCTTGCATGCCTTTGTTGATGGTGTCTTGCCATCTCTGTTCCGGACGCCAGCAAGGTCAGACAAACAGACTAACCAGAGTTGGAAGGGACCAACACCCCCCGGCCAAGCAGGAGACCCTACTACACCATTTCGGACAAACACAGTGCAGTCTCTTCTTGAAAGCCTCCAGGTTGCCAGCCATTGACTTCTAGTTGGTGGGCTGTACAAGAGCTGTACTACAACTCCTACCCTCAAAATGACGCTACGGAGCACTGCACACCAGAACAACTAAACACAAGGACAGTTTTTTCCCCAAATGCCATCACTCTGGTTAAACAACTAATTCCCTCAACACTGTCCAACTATTACAAACTCTGCACTACTATTACTATGAATCTTCTCATCGCTCCTTATCACCTCTCCCCTCCCACTTGTGACTGTATGACTATAACTTTGTCGCACCCTTACGATTTATACTGACTGTTTCCTAGTATGATTTGATTGCTTATTGTACCCTATGACTATGTTCTATTTACTATATAATCTGAGTATGTAAACCTATGACTATTATTAAGTGTTGTACCTGATGATTCTTGACTCTTGATGAATGTATCTTTTTTATGTACACTGTGAGAGCACTTGCACGAGGCAAATTCCTTGTGTATCCAATCACACTGGGCCAATAAAATAATTCTACCATCTACCAGGAGTAAATTTCCAGCAGTTGTTAAGTAACGATGCCCTTCAGGGGAGGTCAACTTCTGATGTTCATGTTGCGTTGTGGGCAACAACACGGAAGCGGGCTGCCCTTGCCTTCTCCCAGGACGTTTCTTTAACCTCTAGCAACGTCCTTTCCTCGTGGTCTCCCATCCCCGGCTCTCAAAACATCCAAGTCACTGACCCGCTCGGGAGCCTAAAAGGAGGGAAGGGGGGGACAGGAAGGAAGGCTAGGGGTGGGGAAGGGGGTTGGAGACCCTGTCGCCTTACCAGGGCATGCTTGAGGATCTGTTGCTTGCGCCAGAATCGGTCGGTCACCGGGCTGCGGAGCCAAAGCGACCAAGTGAGGAAAACCATTGCCAGCGAGCTTGGTTGCTTTGCAAAAGAAGCGGCGGAACGGGGTGGGTGGGGGGGGGTCGCCGAGCTGGAGGTGACCGAGCCACGCGGTGCAATTCCCGTCCTTTCCCCGCCGAGACTCGGCTTGCAAATGGCGGCAAAAAAAAAAAAAAAAAACAGTGCTCGGGCGCAAAGGGGAATGAGCGCACCGATCGCAGCCCCGCATTTCCGGCGCTGGTGCGGTTGGGTGGGTGGGGGAAGAGAAACTCGCCATTTGAGTGGAGAGGAGGGGCGGGGGGAAGAGGAAGATCGAAGCGACGCCGCCGTGCTCAGATGCGGGGACTTGGGGTCGGGGTGTGGGGGGAGATAAGAGAGCGGTTGTTGCTTCTTTGCACGGGAGACCCGCCTTCGTGCGGTCGTCGTCCCGTCTATTTCCCCCGTCCGTTTCAATGGGAGTCGCCCCTCAAAGAAGGCAAGAGGAAAGGCCGAACGCGGAGCAAAGGCAGTTGCGGTTCTGATGGGTTGATTGCTCTCCCTGTCAGAAAGTTTCTCCTTATTTCCAGGTTGAATCTCTCACTGATCAGTTTCCATCCATTATTATTCCTTGTCTGGCCTTTGGGTGCTTTGAAGAATAGCCTGACCCCTTCCTCCTCTCTGGGGCAGCCCTCAAATATTGGAAGATGCTCTCCTATCTCCCCTGGTCCTTCTCTTCACTGGCCAAGCCCAGTTCCTGCAATTCCATTCTTCATATGTTTTAACCTCCAGTCCCCTTAATCCTCCTAGTTGCTCTTCTCTGCACTTTTTCTAGAGTCTCAACATGTTTTTCATAGTGTGGTGACCAAAACTGGATGCAGGGCTCTAGATGTGGCCTTACTCAGGCTTTATAGAGTGGTATTAGTACCTCAATCTTGATTGTATCCCTCTGTTAATGCAATTTAGGATTGCGTTGGCTTTTTTGGCTGCTGCTGCACACAGATGGCTCCTATTTAGCTGGTTGTCCACTAAGACTCCAGGATCCCTCTCCCAGTTCCTGCTATTGAGCCTGGTTTTACCCAGTCTATAGGTGTCCTTTTGGTTTTTCCTCCCTTAATTGCAAGACTTTACTTTTTTCTACACTGAAATTCATCTTGTTAGATATGGCGCAGTGCTCAAGTCTGTCAAGATCCACCTGGATCTTAAGCTTATTTTGGGGGGTGTTAGCTCTTCCTGCCAGCTTTGTATCATCTGCAAATCTGGTAAGTTCCCCTTCTATTCCCTCATCTAAATCTTAATGAAGATAAGGGGAAGCCTGATTCACTTAACAACTGGGTTCCTCACTTATCAAGTGCAGCGATCCACTGAGCGGCTGTGGCAAGGAAAAGTCACGGTGATGTGTAAGAATTACATATTAAGGATTATACCTGTGAAATTGAGGAACCTAAGTAACGCCATATCTATCCGATGTCTGAACTATGCAATGATTATTGGAATAATACTGGATTGTTATATAACTATCAAACTATGTGCTGTAGAAATGTCAACTTTTTGGCTAGAACGTGGAAATGTTCATATTTTTGGCAATAATTATACGTGAAAAGATTACGGATCATCCTGATCTAAACAGAATTGGTTAATGATCTATTGGGTTTTTTAAAAAAACCCAGATGTTCAAAACAGGAAGAAGAAGCCATGAGAATGGGGGTTTCCAAGAGATAAGATTTTGGGTAGTGTTAAGAGAAAAACAGGACAAGGAAAAAGATGTTACGCTACAATAATAACAGGGGTGTTGCAGAGGAGGATACGTAGTTGGATAGATTGTGAACCCAGGAAAGGGGCAGAGAATGCATATTTGGACCTGTATATAAACCCCAGCCTTCCTGAGAACCAGGTCTTCTGCCCAAGGGCAGAATTCCCTTTTGCGAAAGCTTCATAATAAAGCTCTTATATATTGTTCACAGGTCTCCGGTCTGAATATCTGAATGGCTGATTTTTATCACAGTCGCAAAATAGGACCAGGATGACTTCAACTGCCGTTTTACTGAGCCACAGAACTTCAATGACGGTCGTAAGTCAAAGACTACCTACACATTTGCTGGCACCCAGGGAGAGCACAGCTAGAGAAAATTCTGGTTTCCGGCTTCTTCACCAATGCCAGGTCTTCAGCGGTCTCCTTCCACCAAGTCTTCTGGCTAAGGTCTGCACCATTTGCTATCAAAAGTTCCATCAGGGGAATGGATTTCATCTCTGCCGCCAAATGCAGAGCGGTTTTGCCCAGCCACCCAGCCGCGTTCACATCTGCGCCGTGCGCCAAGAGACAGCCGGCGACGTCGGCGTGACCGCAGAGGACCGCGTGGTGAAGTGGCGTAAGCAGGAGGCCATCTCTCCGAGTAACGCTGGCAGGGGAGCTTCCTTGGAGCAAAAGATAGACAGACGGCAGGCTCCCGGCAGCCGCGGCCTTGTGGAGCGGGGTGCAGCCGCGGGAATCTGCTAAGTTCCCATCCGCTTGGTTCTGGAGCAACAGCTTCACAATCTGAAGGGGGGAGAGATAGGAAAAGCTCGAGAAAGCAACAGAAGTCACACAAACACCCCAATGGAAGACTCAGACAGCTCAGGTTTTGTGGCAAAGCTGTGTCTGGTTTGCCGATTGCACCATGGCAGATAGGTCTGTACTCCAGAGCAGGGATGGGATTTTACCAGTTCGCACCTATTCTCTAGAACTGGTTGTTAACATTCTAAACAGTTCGGAGAACCGGTTGTTAGAAGAAATGACTGGGCTAATCCTGTAAGGAAGGCAGGAAGGAAACATTCTGGGGTTGCTTACAGAAGCTGCCTCTCTGCTAACCCTTATTACATTCTTGGCAGGACTAGACTTCCTGTCTCAGGAACCTCTCTGGAGTTTTTTCCCCTCCTTTGCTGGTACTTTGCTTGTGTGGAGTGACCAGTCAAAGTTACAATGGCACTGAAAAATGGACTTATGACCATTTTTCACACTTAACAACTGTTCCAGCATCCCCACAGTCATGAGAGGAGGAGAGGAGATCTGTGCCTCGATGTGAGTGATATTGAGTTGGCTACGCCCAGCCAATAACATGACCACCAAGCCACGCCCACCAACTAAGCCACGCCCACAGAACCGATTGTTTTTTAAAAAACAGCCCCTCCACAGCTTCATTATACTAATATTAATTATCACGATGGATGATAACACTGATCTTAGTATAGCCTGATCTAAAAAAGTAAGACCACCTCATGATGGCTGTTTCTGGACGCGATCGAGAGTGCCGTCCTTCCGTGGTTGTCTTGGAGATCCACGTCAGCCCCTTTGGCCAGCAAGAGACGTATCGTTCCGGCTCTCCCCATCTCGGCAGCTATGTGTAAAGGTGCGATGCCTCCGTTGCCTTGGAGATTGGGGTTGGCCCCTTGGGAAATCAGCCCATTCACTATATGAAGCTGGCGGCCAGCTGTGGCCCAGTGCAAGGAAGTCCACTGGTTACAGTCGCCAGCGTTGGGATCGGCCCCGTGCCGTAGAAGCAACTGCATCATCAGGGTGTGGCCGTTGGCGGCCGCACAGTGAAACGGGGTAAGGCCCCCTTGGGTGGTGCCCATTGCCAGCGCCCCCCGAGCCAAGAGGAGATCCGCGACCTGGGTATGGCCACTCCAGGCAGCATGGTGGAGAGGTGTGTAACCGGCCCTGTTGTCGGTGTGGATCATTGCTCCACGCTGGATGAGGAACTTCACCAAGGGGAGGTAACTGTGCAAGGAAGCGACATGCAGGGGAGTCCAGCCGTTTTTGTCTCTAAAAAGGGTTTAATTTTTTTTTAAAAAAAAGATAAGAAAGCCTTGGATGGAAAGCAAGGGATGCTGGGAAGTGCAGTACACAGGCCCTCGATGGAAGGCAGGCTGGTAGTAAATTGCAGAAAATAGCAATTGCTACCAACCTGCCTCCCATGGAGGACCTGTATCCTGCCACGAGTCAAAAAGAGGGTTGGGAAAATATCTACAGACCCCTCACACATCCCAGACATAAACTGTTTCAACTCCTACCCTATTAGTTGGGGTTTCCAAGAGGAAAAAAAGAAGGCTATAAATGCAATCATGATTTTTTTTAAAAGCAGACGAAACCAAAGCAAAAGCCGGAAATTTCCACCGGTGCCCCCAAGCCTTACCTGCTGTTCGTAGATGCCCCTCGCTTCAACAGGTCTTTTACCAGCCTCAGGTCTCCACTCCTGGCTGCCCGATGGAGCTCCCTCCACCCGGGTGTCTTGGCTGTCGGGAAGAAACCATTATCGGTGCCCTTTGTGACAGGTTCCAAGCCATCCTCTTTTTGGAGTCCTTCAACGTGGGTTTCGGCCAACACCATCCATTTTCTCACCAGCTCAGCCTGGGTTTTCGCTGCGGTTGAAGGAAGGATGAGGGGGAAAAAAAAACCCCAGATCAACGTTAGAGTCTGCGCGCCGGCAAAAAAAACCCAAAACAATAAAAAAAAAATTGAGATCGAGAGAGAAAGATGGGAAGAAAGGAAGGTTTCGAAAAGGGGAAGACCCCGCCCACTTTGGGAAAGCTCCGCCTACTCCTCGTCTAACTCCCATCCGCGTGAATTTCAGCCCCTCACCCTTTTTTTCCAGCTACGTTCCCTCAGAGAAAAGGTGACTTTTGAACAGAGGTGGTCTTCGGACGGTTCTGACCGGTTTTGGAGAACCGGTAGTGGAAATTTTGAGTCATTGGGAGAACCGGCCAATCCCGCCTCTGACTGGCCCCGCCAACCCCATCTCTTCTCTGCCTCCCATTGAGTCCCAGCTGATCGGCTGGGTCTCCTTGGGTTGCCCTGCCCAGGAGAACGGAGCTGGAAAGCACGTTAGGGGGGTGGGGAGGGAAGGGGGATTTTGCAGTATATCCTTCCCCTGCCACGCCCACTAAGCCACGCCCATAGAACCTGTGGTAAAAAGAAATTTGAATCCCACCACTGTTGTTCAACCTTGGCATGATAGTAAAAAAAAAGCCTAGCTAGCTGGGGAATTCTGGGAGTTGAAGTCCACGAGTCTTACCACTGCCAAGGTAGGACCATCCTTGATCTTATCCAAACTTGAGTTTTGGGGCTTCCTTCTAAAAGCATACAAAGCAGGTTGGGACATTTTGATTTACTTACCGGTCATTTTTCTCCTCCGCTGTCGACTTTGGATCGCCGCACAACGCTGCTTTCCGAAGGGTGAGTAGGAAAAGGTGGGTTCACACCTTTTGAGGTGCTCCTTTTCAGGGGCTGCTGCAAAGCTTGGCTATCTGTTCTCCAGATGTTATTTTACTCCCTGAGAGGTGAGTGCGGGGTGGTGGAGCTACTCTTGGTATGCACAAAGCAGAATTTCTAAAGCAGCTCTGCAAAGAAAGGGAACGGAGAGAAAGGCCAGAAGGATCAGACCTAAACAAATATTCTGACAATATTTGCTCCAGATATATTCCAGTCAGTCCAGGAAGGGAGCTGCGTCCGGCAGATCGCTCCTTGCCAATCTATGCTTGAATGTGCAAAGAGCTGTTTACTTAATAACTAAGTACAGACCTAAGGAGGGAAGGAGACGTGCCTACGTATCGGTGATTGGATGTCACCTGGGCAGTTTGTCTCTCTTTTGTGTGTACACACACAGGCGGTAGACACCCTGACGGAAACGCTTTTGAAGCCTGTATGGGTTTGAAGAAGCCTGATGTCTGAGGAACATGGGGCTTTGTAGTCCAACACAGGCATGGACTTTTAGGTTTGGGAAGGCAGCTAGGAAAATAATGTTGTAGTGATGGGGGGTGGGTGGGAGGCATATATAAAAAGAGGGGAAGATCAAAAGATGCGGAGGAGGAGGAGGAGGAAGAGGAGGAGGAGGAGGAGGGGGAGGAGGGGAGGAGGAAGAGGAGAAAGGAGGAGGAGGAAGAGGAGAAATAGGAGAGGGAGGAGGAGAAGGAGAAGGAGAAGGAGAAGGAGAAGGAGAAGGAGAAGGAGAAGAAGAAGAAGAAGAAGAAGAAGAAGAAGAAGAAGAAGAAGAAG